TGAGGTGACCGGAAAAGGTGGGCAGAAGGTCCCTCAAAGACCCCCAAGGAGTCAAGAACTAGCAGCCTCCCTGCACTACCTCCCTGCGTCGTCTGAAGAAGGATCCAGACCATAAGAGGTTTCTGCTGAGATGAAGATGATCCAGAGGCCGCAGTGGACCCCAAGCCAAGCCAAAACTCTGGGGGAGCTGAGCTTCAAACCTGAGCTGAGGGAAAACCAGTGGGCCTTGAAAGAGGAGGAGGTGCAGGGCCCAGGCCTTCCTGAGAGGCTGGTGCAGAGCAGGCACTCCCGAGCTGGGGGACCGTTTGCCAGAGAGTAGAGCGGGGCTATTGCTAAGCTTCATGCCAGGTGTTTGCTTTTCCCAGAGACTCCTTGAGTGGGAGGCCAGCGCGAGCCAAGGCAGCTGGTTCTAATCGGGGTCTGGCGCAGGCTGGACCGGGCCTCAGTTTCTTGAGCTATGAGATGGGGCTGCAGATGGGGTCTTCTGGCTGACATAGGCACGCCAGCCAGCCAGTGGCGGCCTCCGCTCTGATAGCAGGGCTCTGGGGCAGGGCCGGGGTCAGAGACGGGGATGCCTTGGTGGGAGGGGAGGGAGGGGAGGGGGTTGCAGGAAGCTCAACTCCACCCTGGGAATTGTCTTCTGGGTAGCAGGAGAATTCGGCTGGACACCAAGAAGACCTTGTTCATGGGAGCCACGGGTGCCTCCTAAGCAGGAAATGAGCCCTTGTTCCCTAGCCCCCCCTGGACGGTGCAGGGCCCAGCCTTCCTGAGAGGCTGCGTGCATGAGCGAGCACTCCCGAGCGGGGGACCCGTATCGCGCAGAAAAGTAAGCGGGCTATCTGCTAAAGCTTCATGCCAGGTGTTTGCTTTTCCGCAGAGCTCCCCTTGAGTGGGAGGACCATGCGCCGAGCCACGAGCGCGCTGGTTCTAATCGGCGGTCCTGGCAGCAGGCTGACCGGGCCTGCAGTTTCTTGAGCTATGAGAGGCATGGGGCCGACTCGCCGGTCTTCCTGGCTACCCTACCGCGCCACCCGCGCCGCAGTGGCGCGGCGTCTGCTCGCTCGCAGGTCTCCCGCCGGCGCGGGGCGGGGGTCGCGACCACGGCTGCTTGGCTGCGACAGGGGAGCGCGCACGGGGAGGGGAGTTGCGGAAGCTCACTCCACCCTGGAATTGGTCTTCTCCGGCGTCGTTCAGGCAGCATTCGGGCTCGACCCGCGCGCGCCCCAAGAGACCTTGCTTCTCGGGACGCACGGGTGCCTCACTAAGCAGCGAAATGAGCCCCTTGTTCCCCTAGCCCTCGGGGCCCGGTGGTCCCGCTCGTCCTCTCCTCAGCGCGGCTGGGCCTGAGAACTGCTGCGCTGAAAACCGAGCCAGCAAGCCCCGAAGTGCTCGGGCAGCGTGGGCGGGTCGCGCCTTCTCACGTCCCACTTCTCCCCACTTGGTTCTGTGGGTGGGGTGGGGACAGCCTTGCCCGGGGGCTGGCAGGCCCGCGAGGCCCCACGACGAGGAGGGTCAGGAGCCAAGGTGTGCGGGTGCCCCCACCCGCCGCCCACGGCTTTCTGGGAGCCGGGCCTCCTCCTACCTGCTCTCACCTG